ATATCCATCCTCAACTATTGCTAGTGTAGAAATAAATCAATATGTTATTCTTAAATTGTTTTAAATCATTCAAGGGATCTCACAGATTAACAACAGCCGTCAAAGTTAAAAATCGGCCATGCCATCCACTTAAAAAATCATTCTGTAACTTTTAGCGTATTGATTAAACACACTTCACTCAATAATGTGCTAGAATATTCCCATCAAATTCTTTCAAAACGCTCGCAGGATCTCATCGAATATTTTAAGATATTGCTATACAATATATACTTTAGAAAATTGGTTATTTTATTTCTTTCACCCATGATGTTACCTAGCGTTGAATTGGTTTCGAAAGTACTCTCTCTCTCCCATTCCAACTCACTCTATCACACTTAATCCCAAAATTTAATCAAATCAAAATAAATAAATGTCCGTATTTTTCCTAATTTGAACTTATTTATAGATATATAAATGATAATAAACACATATAAAGAAAACAATAATATAACAAATACACTATTTTTTTCTTTGTTTCCAAGATTAATTGTATGAATGAAGCAACATTTAAAATTCACATTTAGGGCCAGTGAACCGCACGACTAAGTTTAGTTTACAACGTCCGAAATCAAAAAGTGAATCTTGAACTGAGAACAGGTTTTTAAGAACTTGGGTAGTATCCTATCCTTAATGAGTTGGACTACTTAAATAAAAAATAAACCAAGCGTGTTCGGAAAGCACTAAATTTCGGATCCCTGCTCTTAAGGACCTGAAATCGGATCGGACAAAAAAGGTTTTGGGTTTCGGGAGACCGTGACATTTTGGCAAAAGAATAAAATACCTCCCTCATCGGTTATTCATGGCGAACCCAGCCGCCTCAGGAATTATAACACTTGTTAAAATGTTTTCACCTCGCTACGACCTCACTAATTTAAATGTTGATATTTAAATGCTAAATTTGGTTTTCACTCCTATTAAGATAGTTTATGAATACTACCGTTTTGATTTATATGAGATTAATGACGCATATACGGTGGATTGTCTAAGGAAATAGTACTGTGAACTGAGTTTTTTAGCCAGTGAACAAATAGAAAATAAAATAATGCAACAGTATGTCATAAGATGGAAGAATCAATTCTTATATGATCGGCGGTTTAATAGAAAAAGGATAAAGACAATTATTTTAAAAACTTCATTTATATTTTATTGTCTGGAATTTAATAACCTTTCAAATAATTATGGATACAATCCAAATCCATAATGTTTACTTTTTTGTTATTCGTAAATTAAGTTTTATTTCCCTAAATATCGGAGGATCTGACTGTTTTCTCAAGTGAAGGAGAAAAAAAAAAAAACATTCAAAATGAGTGTGTAATAATTGGTTTCAACGAAGAATTAACATGGTAATGGCGTGCCGACAAAAAATACCTGTGAGAAATTATTTATAATCAGTAATATATCTTCTTTCCTCTCATCGATTGAAAATTATATAGTCATCCTGAGGCATAGTCACTCTCTTAAATGCTGGGCCCATATCTCTCATTGCATTGTGCTGAGAATTATTGGTGGGATATTATGTTGCTCATTTCCCACCTTATACTACCTTCTGCTATAATGAAGGTTTCACGAGTATATAAATATTTATATTATTATAAATATCTTTTATAAGTAGGTTCGCTATAATATTTTTTATTTGTCTTTATCTATTTATAGTATGTCCATACATTTTCAATTTGAATTTGAGAATATGGAAATGAGGTGCCCATTCCTCTCAAGATCGATAGCATTTTAACTCCCATTTCCTCCCATGAAATTGAATTGTTCTCTTCTTTTCAAGAAGAATTCTCATTTTGAAAATTTATAACGTAGTCGAAATGTCTCCCCCTTAAAAATTTAAAACCCCGTCAAAATGTATTTCTCTCAAAATATTTGATGGCACAACATGCCCCATGAAAACCCTCCTGGGTACCTCTGCAGAAACCGTTATTTCTGTTCTTTACATTGCTAAGCAACCTAGTTTTTCTTAGTGGTAATTTAAAAACTTGATAAAAACCATTTCTACATACTTAATGACTAAATACATAATGATATATTTAGTTTTTTATAATTATACTATTTAAGAAGTTATAATCTAATTTTCTTTTTTTCTTTTTGTTTCAGGTAAGTGAACATTGCATCATTTTGATGTGGAAATGGAGAGTTAACAACAAACTTCCATTAATCACGGTATTCCATTTAATACAAATAAATTATTGAGTTAGCCTGCAGAGAAAAAAATGCTTATATATTTTTTTCAATTTATTTAAAGTTTGGCGATAACCTATTGAATATGTATTTTTGGTTTATTACTTTCAATAGTACACCTCAGTAAACCGTTAACAACTATATGTTGGTTGATAATCGGAATATTATAGCAAGGTTATGTTGCTAACTTATCATATGGGGCTTTTGTAATTGTCCTGAATGTTTTTGCTTGATGGGAGTTTATTTGTGTGATTCTTTTACAAATATCTGTGATGCAATCGTCCAAATATATTTTAGAAAATAATTCTATGTACTCAGTTTTAGTTTTGAGTGTTTCTCGAGAGTACACATACGTTTAAATTTTCAGTTAAAACTCTTACTCTAGAACTTCAGTTAGAATCATCAAACCGATTAGCCGTTAATTTTTTAATAAAACAAGGTTGGGATTTGTTTCTGGGAGGTTCTCTTATTACTTTTAGGGCCAGTTGCTCCAACTCAGTAAAGCTTAGATAAAGCGTTATCTGAGATTAAACAAAGTTTAATCTTGATCGGTCCACGTTAGAAAACTTGGTTTAATCTTAGATAACGCTTAACCTAAGCTTTACTGTGCAACTGGCCCTTCGGAGATAAGTTGGTAATTTTGATTCATTTATCTGTGGTTTGGAATTTTTATTCTAAAAATGTTCTTTATATTGGATTTTTTTTAATTATATAAAAAGCCTAATTACCCCAAAAACTGTTTGTCTATTACTGGTGAAAAATACGTAGCTAGAATTTTCTAACTTTTTCATGATTAATTGGTTGCATATTAACAAAAATGTGCTAAAAGAATAAATTTGCTTTTAATTAAACCCATCTCCAACTGATGAGAACTAAAACTGTGGTTCACATTAGTGCTGAATTTTTTTCTTTAAGTGTCTATATCCTGTACATTTACCTTTCGTAATAGAGGTAAATTTTCAGTTCTACATATAGCCCTGTAACACTGACTAAGACTTTTTTCCTCATCTACTGATGGTAATATAGACTCCCAGGGGATTCTATTGTTTCTTCTACATTGGCCTGGCTGGAATTAAATCGAATTGATTTCCAGCAACTGCTTCTTGTTTCTGATATACAATTAAGTTTTTTTTTATCACTCTAATTGCTAAACTAGATTATTTCATTTAATTAAACAAGAAAAAAGAACAACAAGCAGGAAATAGCTTCTATTAAAACATGAAACTGCAGGGGTGGAAATCAATGTTAATTTAGATTTGCTTCCTCCTATTGCTTCTATAGGGAAATGTTTGCTATCCAATATAGCCTGCAATCTACTGATTTTTTTTTTAACTGTCCCGTTGACCCTAGCAAGATTTAAATCAGTGGACGGTTATTGACTTAATGACTCCCTCCCCCCTTCTCCCTTCCCTCACGATCACTACCTAATCCTAGGTTATTCTTTTCACAGGAAATTAACCAGGACTTAATTGAAAACTCAGCCCCTAGCTGCTCTAATGAAAGTCTCCATCTTAATTATTTCCAAACGATTCTCCATGTATTTCGCTATAAATTACTTTGTTAGATCTTTGTAATTTCAATTGCAGTATTGTATTGAAAACGGAATTTTTTATTAGAAAATACACGTTTATTGTATAAAAATGTTACAAAATATTTTTTTTGAAATATCGACTATTGCGAACTATACATTTTTCTGGTCCCTCTGCCGTGTTATGATCACCAGACCACAAAAATATTTCTGTTGTGTGGCGAACCAGTCATCAAGCAATTTTCATAGCAAGTGAAGCGCTGCTAAGTAAGTGCCCATCGAAGAAAATGATTAGTAGTCGTACGGAGCCAAGTCAGGTGAGGAAGTCGTTTTCGTTAATGTTTCCCAACTAAACGGATCCTTTGCTCCAATGCTTTTTTATGTGTGATGGTGCATTATCATAAAGCATAATTATTTTTTGTTGATTTTTTTTTATTATCTAAATTTATTTCGACCCTATCATTTGTTATCAATAGTGTATTAATGGTTTCGCTTGGTTTTAGCAACTCTTAATTGATCGCACCCACGTTCCACTTTTTTCATTTCTCACTGCATATTAGACACTGTATTTTTTTTTTTGAAGCACTGTCGTTTAAACATGCTCACAGTAAGCTTCGACAATTCGATTCAATTCTGCAACTGTCCACTTTTAATGCTAATTGAAAACTAACCCTCTCCACAAATCATAGTTGGTAGGCGCAAAACTCGACAAATTCAACAATATTAAAATATTTCTGTTCTATGAGGTTATAATGTTTCGAGATTCTTAGGAATGAGGGATGACGACAAATTGTTGAAATTTCTTATCTACTTATTGTTTTACTTAGGGTCTTCTAAAACGTATAACTCAAGTATGAAAAAAGAAGTATTGACTTATTTTTTAATAATAGCCTACGACCACTTACTACACATTAAGAAATTAATGAGATAGTAAAAGTATTTTTAAAAGTAAATTTAACGATTTTATTTAATTTTTTTAAAATTCAGATAAGTAGTTTAGCAAATTATATCTTTATATTCGGGATGAATAGATAGAAAGCATGTTATTAGAATGACGTCTGAAGTCCAAGCTATGTTAAAAAAAGAATTTATTTGAAACAATCACCAATACATATTAGTTTTATTATTTTTGTTTTGTCTTATGTAAGTATGCTAACTACATTTATTTGTTCTGAATTCCTAAGAGGTGAGTAAAACAGCTCTATGGCCTGGAACTAGCTTGAAAAGGAAACGATTTCGAACCGCTTGAATGACGAAGACTGAATGGAGGGTGGTAAAGAGCCGAAGAGTTGGCAATTACACGAAATAGGGCTGTTACGGGAGATGCGGACTCTTTATCGCAATCCTTCCTCCAGCAAGAAGAACCATTGTCTTGGAAACGGATCTCTTCTTGGATCTGGTGACACTGATGACTGCGGTATTAGCTTCTGAAGGAGTCGAGGACAATGGGGAGATGTTTGCTGAGGAAGCTTTTGTCGCTCTTAGTCGAGGGTCTGGGGTACTCCAACCGACCTCCTACCGCCTCTTTCGCTCCAACGGGAAACTGTAGTACGGGAATTTTCGTTTTATCCTCTAAGTTTGGCTAAGTGGTCTGCTCTACAGTTTTTTTCTCAAAAAGTAACCTAAATATTAAAAAAACAAAAGCTTTGAAAATCTTCTTTTTTCCAAGGAAGTTAATAACACATACATTTCTTAAGTATCTAAAAAAAATTAATTCATTAAAAGATTTTTTTAAACTGTTTGATTTAAATGAAAACTAAAACAACATTAATGTCATTGTAGCATTATTTAAAAAAAAAATGAATGTGTTATAGTATGTAGTAACAATTGTATAACTTTCAAAACATTTCCTTCCCACCTTCCTTTCTTTGCTTTCCACTTGTATTGTAAGATAATTTGATCACAAAATCGATAAAAACAGTATCCTTAAAAAATAACGGACCGCTTTGCCTGTATAACCTCGTTGTTTTGACTTGTTGAAGTTGAAGTTCACGCCAAACGGCTCAATATTTTTGGAGACCACCTTTTTTCCTGATGTTGCGATAGAAATTTCACGATTCAAGTGGATGTTATTGAGTTTTTAGTACCTCATAGAATAGACAAAGTTTATCCATGTCAAGATTGAAAACGTTCCATTTCCGGGAATTTTCGTAAGTAAAAAGTTTTAGGTTACGATAAGATGCCCATTCACTATTCAAGAAGTTTTAGACAAATGTTAATAATTTTACAAAACGTAGTCTGTACCGAGGACTGTATGAGCCTTTCAGTTGACAGAATGGCTAACTCCAATTTTAACATTTATTATACTTCTTCTTCTGCGTTCTTCCTTATATGACTAGGTCAGGAACTAAAATGAAGAATTCGGTAGTCCTCTTCGGGTCTTCCAGGCTTCCATATAGTTTCCTTTCCAATTCAGTCGGAGAGGGCCAGATCACCCTCCTTTGCTGTTTGTAGGATATGTTCCACATTCTGTACGCCCTCACCGCAGTCGCAGAGGGGACTAGAGCCAATTTTGAACTTACTGAATAGGTGAGCTTTGAGCCTGTTGTGTCCAGTTCGTAAGCGAAAGATCAACGCCTCAAATAGTGGATCATTTCTGAGCCAACGGTGGTTAATAATTGGTTTATTAATTGTTTTTACCTCGTCCAAGCTGATCTTACAATTTATTATTATTAATTTTAGTGATATTTGTATAGAGGAAATTTATACATTTATTCACAGTTCTATATTTCGATTCTTCAATCACTTAATCTGGAATCAACTTACTCTCTGTCTGTTAAGTTGTTTTAAATTTTCCAATTATAAGTAACACTAAAATGACTACTCAAAAATGTTCAAATTGAAGTTAGTCATTCTGTCAACTGAAAGGCTCATATCTACAAAGTGTATTTACTGATAAAATGTAACATTATATGAAACAAGTCATCTAATGATAAGTGGTCGTCGATTATGTATAATAATTCTCTATTTTACTAACTTTATCCACCAGAAGATCTCTGATGAAATATGAGAGATTGGTTATTTTATAATTATTCCTGTCTTGCATTTGCCTCATTTAGAACACGAATAGACTCGTGGTTTGACGAAGCTCGGTTCGGTTTACCATTCCCGCTTCTCCAGTTCTACACAGTTTGCCTGAGAGAAGATAGTGTTTGATAAACCCAGAGGCCAGCTATAGAACATGGTGTATACAAACGTTTGCTGGGTCGCTGGCCTGTTTGCCTAGATAGATAGATGGGGGCACCCTGTTTGGGCTCTCAACAGGCCCCTATCTATCGAAAGGAAGGGCCAGAACATTATGTTATCGACTTTACACTTCTTGTTTTATGATTGGAACGCTTCAAACACATGTATTGTCCTTGTTTGATTTATGATCGAGATCTTGGGGAATCAGCAGATTTATGGGCCACCTCTTTATATTTCTTTAGTCGACTAATTAACAAGGATAAGCAAAGCGATAGAGTATGTGGATTAGAGTGATAATGAGTTTAAATGTGGTCGATGTGTCGTGTCGATATGTTCATTTTTTTTTAATAATTGAGTAATGCTCTATTTGTTTAGACGTACTTTACTGAAGGCCATATTAACGTAATGTTGTCTTGTATGCACAAACAGACACTTGCGGATCCAGGATTTCATTTTGGGGGTCTTCAACCCGAAAGCTTTTTTTTTTTATATATACCAATAAATAAAGAAAGATACTAGCTGCATATATGAAATGGTGTTTATGTGATTTTTGAAGTCATTTTAAATGTAGTTACACGATTAATAATACTTCAAGAGATAATTTTTTGATAGTTTTTACCATTTTTTTGGGGGGAGGGTCTTCAGCCCGAAAGCCTCCCTCTCTCCTCCCCCCGTAGATTCGCCTGTGCAAACAGGTCTTATTATAGTGCTGTGCTGGTCGTTTGTTTCTTAAGTTGATTGTGGATGTATTGTCCAGAAGATTTGAAGATTAATTGTATAACCTTGTCAATTCTTGTACATTTTTTGTTTAGTTTGAGGTACCTTATATAGTTTTATGAAGTACTGATTTGTCGAAAGTTGCAAATTTAGCTTGAAGTTGAATATTATAATACTTATCCGAACACAACTATGTCTAAATATTAAAATAATCGTAATTATATTATCAGTTGTGCAGATACTATTTTCAACTTGCAAATCTTCAATTTTTTTAATTTTATAAATTGATCTACATCCATGATAACAATATTTTATAGGCATTTAAAAATATATATTGTGTAGTAATGACGTTAAAAGTATTAGTATAAAAAAAGGAAGAAAAAAAATACATACAGGAAGGAGGTGGTCTAGCGTGGCTGTCATAAATAGACTAAAAATAGTGGCAAAACTATTTTATTAAAAGCCAACCTGACTTTGCAGGTCTTCTTCAGAGAAGTGTGTTCAGTTAGGAGTTTCATTTAGACCTTTTAATAAAATAGTTTTGCCTATTTATGTCCGCCACCCTGGACTATTTCCTTCCTTAATAATGCAACGGTTAACTATTAAATATTAAAAAAAATATATGTTTAAAAAAAAAAACGGTACCACCTATGATGGGTTTAGTATTTTTTAGGAAGTGCTGGGAGGAAAATGATCGGGCCAGGATCACGTCCAACCCGCCTTGTTTTCCCCTTTAATTAATTATTTAATTTAAAGTACCCACTATATATAGGCGCCCCAAGCCAGATTCGAACCAGGAACCTTCAGCTTAGCAGCCCAGTGCCTAACTCATTGAGCTACTCCGCTACCCAAAAGATATACAATAAAATAATGTATAATGTTTTGTACAAAATGTATTTATTAGTTAGATGTGTGGATCATTCAACCGTATGTAGTAAGACAGCAATATTTTTAATAAAATATTTCTCTCTAACAAACGCTTCATGAATGCCGCCGAGAAATAAATATTAACTGACTCAGATGAGAATCTAACCCACAAAGTTTAGATGTGTGCCATACGTATACTGTACTTTTTTTTTTCACAGTCCCAAGTTTTATTTTTTCTAACAGTCTTGAAATACTGGTTAAAACAAAACTGTGCTTGTACTTTATTGTTTTATTTATTACTTGTTGTGATCTCGGGGTTGTCGTTAGGATTTAATTTAAAAGGAATTTCCATGAATCACTAATCACTAGCATCATCGATCTTCTTCCAGCCAAATCAAATAGACGTCACTGTCTTGTAACGAAAACAAATCAGTTAGTTGAGATAGGCCTCCTAAAAATAACTGTTTTTGTGTAGATGTTAAAATACAACTCTTTAACATACATTTATTTTGTACAGTTTCTTTATATTTTGTTTGAAACTTGAAGTGATTCCAGGAGATTACATGACTTTGGAATTTTTAATGTTGGAATGTTTAGTAGAGCAGTTCAATTATATAATTGTAAGTTAAAAAAAATGATGAGATATTACAGTTGACAACTGTAAGAGTTGAGGTGAATACTGTTTACTTTAAAACTATTTTTATATCTTATAATTGCTCCATTTCTTTCCGCAATCTACATCAGTTGAAGGTCAAGCATTCCAGACATAGAGGCATGGGCGGTATTTAGCTCTGAGTGTTTCAAATTCTTAGCTTTCCTCCAGCGATTCATGATTATGTATATTCATAATAATTTACTGAGAATATTTATGTTTTTTTTCCATATATGTATAAAATAATACAAAAATTATATTTAAGAAATTTAAAATTTTCGTTATACGGTGAATATTAATTAGGACTGCTATTAAAGAAGATTAGAGATTTCAAAATGAATTGTATTTTAATTTGATTTTCATTATTTTATTGCGTTGCTTATAAATAAATATATTTATATGAGTCTTTCAGTTGACAGAAGTTTTTTAATAAAATTATTTTAGTGATATTGCTAGTTGGAAAATTTATAATATCTGTACAGGCAGTGAGTTGGAGACGATTCCAGAATAGGTGATTGCAGTGTCGAAATATAGAACTGTGAAAAAAGAAATAAATTTTCGCACTAGAAATATCACTAAAATTAATAATAAAAAAAAAATTGAAATTGAAGTTAGTCATTCTATCAACTGAACGGATTATAAAAAAAAAATCACCTCAATAGAATTACCAAGTAAAACTTGCTTACTTATGTTTTATAATTCTTGATTACTTTTTTTTGTTTTACAACAAATCTAAAATTTTAGATAAATTTAAATTTCTTAAAAACTGAATTGTTTTCCTTATCGTTATATGTCTGTGAATGTTAATTTTTCAGTTTATGATATAATCCAAATTTGAATAAAGCCACGAATCTCTAAAATTTAGGTATCTAAATACATAGACATTTAAATACAGTAAATAATATCCATGCTGATAGTTAAGGCAAAATATTTTTTCAAATAATGTTAATATTTAAAAATATGGATTTTTTTTTCTGACAATGACAATGTGAGTAAAAAGAAAACTTCAAAAACAGCAGCTGTCACTGAAGTTTAGACATTTTTCAGGATCTTAGGCCATCAGGTGTGTCAGTTTTGTATTCCAGGTTCTCAGCCAAAACTTTGTTTTTTTATCTCTCTCGTTTATC